TAATTGTGATGGTGAAACATGTTATTGCACGGTGTGGTGCATGACAGGTTTGACAATCTTGGTTTCACCTTGGACTGCAGCCTTGTGTGAACCCAGGGGCGTCACAAAATGCAACTAAACAAAATCTTATAGCCCTTTTTAACAAACTGCCCTTTATATCAATGACGATGAAGATCCGTGAAGAAGCGATATTAACGCTGAATGTATTTCTAAAATAATCTTTTGATAATGAGTATGACGAGAAAAAGTTGAATAAGGATTCAGAGGTTAAAATCTCAAATCAGACACTCTCTTTCAAAACCCTAGAATAGATCTCTCATTTTTCTTTATTCTCTTTGTTGTTTAAATCTCTATCTCCTCTTAAATAGGTCTTGATAGGATAGGAAAGGGATACCCAAATCAGAGTGTAAATAGGAGATCAACGGGATCAATGAATGGTTGAGATTAAATCTAAAAACCTGCCAAAACTCGTTCCAACCATTGATGGTTGTTCACCATCATTGATGATCCATTCAAGATCATCGATGGTTGATTGTAGCCTATTAATTGTGCAAATTCTGATTTCTAAATTTTGGCGATTATTTACTGTAGTCCATTGATGGTCCTTGTGATCATCAATGGTTGTCTATAGACCATCGATGGTTAGAACTCTACTTTTTATTTCTTTGATTGTTTTCTATATATCAAGGACTTGACTCGACCATCGACGGTGCCTCGTGACCATCGATGATTCAAAGGTTGAAATCAACGTTCGTGTTAATTTTTTACATCGTTTTGAACCGTAACTAGTTTGTACATGTTTATACTTGAAATATATCATATCAGAAACATATTAGTAGCAAATGAGAGTTTGTTATTTATTAAACAAGAGATATTACACGAACAATGTTATACCCCGAACAATGTTTTAACACATATCACAAGTTTAAAATGGATATTTATTATAGAAAAAAGATAGGCCTATTTGATTACGTGTTTCAATTCGTGAAAAAGGAATTTCAATCCATAGGGACGTGTTGCTGGATCTACCAAAATATGTTAGAGTATAAAATAGAATGCCTGATTTAAAGTTTTGTTGATATAACTGAAGAGACATTTTAGAGAAATGAAGTTGGTTCGTGAATCATTATCACAAAATCCAATGAAAACGTAGTGCTTATGCGTATGTGCTATGTTCTTTTTGAGATTTGACTTAATAAGAATATTAAATCGAATCGTGAAAACTTTAAGTTCAAAATGTCAATAAAGTTACTGTAAAAATCTTCATGATCATGAATTTAAAGAGAGTTTTTAAAATTTTGATAATGTTCTGTGAGTTTAGATTTTTTTTTCCCTAACAAAGACCTTCAATCCGCAGAGACAGTGTTAGAATAAAATTATAACCTTCAATCTTTATCTTAATTTTAGAATTTTGATACAATGATTAGGATCTTTGATAAAAATGAGTAGCGGAAGGAACAACAATGAAAAATTGAAATGGGAACATGAGATAATATATCAGTATGCCCCATGTGCAATTGGACTATTCTATTCTCAACATCATAGTGAAATTCATTGTGTGTTTGGGAACTTCTCCTTAATAAAGTTAGTGGCTTCTAACATGGATAAGGAGTAGAAATGATGTTTGGCACATAATTTGGCCAATTATTATCTATTTTCTTTAGTTTAAATCCTCCTTTTAACAATATTAGGATTGGACCACCTCCTACCTAGATTAATTCTAATGGAAAAAGCTCTTTGGCTCGCGCTTTAACGCGCGAGCCAACTAAATAGCGGAACCGAATTCTAATATAGGTAAGGACTTAACCGCATTAGGGTGGGTTCTTTCCTATATTACCCGGGTACTTATATAATGAACCCGTACCCATACTGGACACGTATCCAAAACTTTCCCGTACCCAAACTTTATGGACATTTCTTGAATATATGTATGCATTTATTACAACATGTACTCAATTATACGATATATGTGTTAATTTTAAACACTTGTGAACACCTCTTGGTCATATAGCTTACACTTTACATATGTTTATTGAAACTAGTTAGATATGGTAGGGTTCGTTTTAGTCCATATCCAAGTTCAAAACTATATAGTTAAAGTGTCGTTTGGATGTCTAATAAAAAATGAGTACTTTCTAATTTATGATAATCAATATGATAAAAGAAACTTAAAAATATGACTGTAATTTTAATTCTAATGACACATAAAGCAGAAAAATAATCTTATGTACATTAATAATTCAATATATATATAATATGTACCCGTGTCCCCTATACCCTATATTTTATAGTTTTGTCGTGTCTCATACCCGTACTCGTATCAAACTTGTATCCGTATCCGTTTCCATGCAACATAGGTTCTATCAAACAGACTCGAAGAACACCAATAGGGGTGGGCATAGGCCGAGCCTATNCTATTCAAGCCTGTGACCCGGCCATTGGGTGTAAGGGCCAGGCCGGCCCTGACCCGGGCTCGGCCTAGTCAGCGTGGGTCAAACCTATTTCTCTGATCCCGGGTGTGGAACTGAACCTAGCTCAGCCCACGACCCGCCTAGGTGCAGGCCGTGTTTGACCCAACCCACGACCCATGGGTTTTTCGTTCAACTTTTTTTTTCTTTTTTTTACCTTTTTTATTATATTAAACTTGTATTTATAATTATAAAATTATTTCTAATTTATTTTTTAGTAATTTAAACTTGCATTAAACTATTTTTAAACGTGTATTAAACTTTTTAATCCTTCTAAGTAGACAGTAGCGAACTTAAAAATCACTGATTTATTTCTTAATTAACCAAAAGGTCCACGAGCCAAAGACTTATGACATTTTGGCTTTATCGGTAATTACCTGCAGATGTAAAGGTCAAAAAGAACAGCTAGCCTAATCAAAAAATATATCATGAATCGGGATGAGCCGGGTGTGAGCCGAGCTAACGTGGACCGGGCCTACTTCTCTGACCGGGGGTCTACGACTTGACCTGACCTGACCCGTGCCCAGATATATCATAAGCCAAATTAGGCTCGGCCTACTACGAATCGAACCCGATCTTGACCCATAGTGGGCTAGACCTGGTCAGCCCGCGGCTTGAGGTCTAAGAAACTCGAGTTTTGAAAAGATCAAGTGGGTCCCAAGAACGAAATCCGCCAATAGATTTCAGTCTTATCCGTTACCAACGGCCGGCACAGATAAAAGAAGTCCACTTTCACGTGCAGAGCAGCGTACCCGCTGTCGGATTCCAATGACTCATCGTACGACTAACCCGATTTTGTCCAAACCCGGGTCCGAAACTCTCGCCAAGCGGGTCCAAATCCGTATAATCCCATTGTCCCGTGCGCTATACTAGTCCGCAGGAGCATCGTAACGGGTACTTGCAGTCTATCCAATTTATTTGGACAGCTCACCAATTACGATTTCGCGGATCTGAAATTGGGATAAAATGGGCCAAGTTCATCAAATGGACCCCACAAAATTAAGTCGGAAAATTGATGCAAGTTTTGCTTTCTTTGTCACACCTAAAAGTTTGGTTGATGAACTTGACTTGTGGAGGTAAGTAAGGTGGTTTAAGTCTTTATTAGGTAGTATTGAGACCGATTAATTTTGGACCCAAATTTTAGGGAAAGGCAAAGATATTTAAGATATTTTTTTTATTTTTTTCAGTAATTAGAATTAGATTTGGTAGTTGGCGAATCAATGATTTGTGATAAGTAATAAGCCACTTTCTTTGGTATGAATTTAATCTGAGGTATCTTGTTAACCTATACAAAATTATAAAAATAGGGAGGTAAATTTTCTCTCCTTTTATGCTATTTTATTTGGAACTCTATAGTTGTTTCTCCCGGGGAAAGTGGTTGTAGCCTTTAATTTTTTTTTTCATTTATTCTCAACATACACCTAAGAGTGTGAGTGATACAAATAGCATCATAGAATACACTTGGTAGCTCATGAGGAAGCCAACGACCACAAAGTTCAGAGGAGGCAGCCGCTGCGGCGATGGAATGAACATTCAAAGTCTTGAACCTTTGGTATCATGATGACCTATAAGAATAAATATTATTAGATCAAAACCAAATTAATGTTGCTTTAGTTATACTTCGTCTCAGTAAGTATAATTTGATTTTCATAAAACTACTTAGTTTAACTATTTTTAATTAAAATTGTTACAAAAAAAAAAGGCTTGACTATTTTCAATTAAACTTAGTACAAAATAAAATTTTGACTATTTTTATTTGATTCAAATTCAGGTTAGATTAATTTTTTCCCTTCTTGCGGTATTTGTTGGACAAAAAATAATCTGGTTTATTTTAGACCATCATCTATTAAGATTGGTTTAGGGCTGATTATTGATTAAAATCAGACCCCAAAAAAAAATCTGAATTAGGTTCAATTAGCTAAGTTACCAAACTAAGGTGGTGTTTGGCAACTACCTACTAACCTAGTTAGTGGAGCTAACCTAGTTAAAGGCTTAAATTTTGTTTTCCTAAATTTGAGTGAGGATCAAATATGCATGGTTTCTTAGTTAAAGTTGGATCTTAATCAGATTAGCATTGATCCACCCTTCTCCCTAGAGTATAACAAAGATCATGTTTAGCAAATTTCCCTTAATCAAGTCTGGATCAGTCAGGGAGAGGGGTACAAATCAACCTAACTCTGTTGAATGAGGAAATTAAGTTAAAAAAAAACTAGGCTCATTCGTCATTCATGCCCATTTTTTGTCAACCACCATTTATCTCTTAATCAGGTAAGAATTAACTGATCAGATTATAGATGTTTGACAAACATGATGTAAGATTATGAATTTAGATCAAGATTGATACCAATAACTAAAATCTTTATTAAGTGTGGTAGCCATAGAACTGTATAAGTCAACTCTCCTGAAGCCACTAAACCTTGGGTCAGAACCCAAACTCTGAAGTCTCTAACCACATCAAACCATCTTAAAATTTGGGACTTTCAACCCCTCATGTGCTCTAGTCCCCTAAAATCGAAAACAGAGCATGAAAACAGGGGAAGCTTTAAAAGGAAAAAAAAAAAACAAAACTTCTTAATCTCCTTCAAAAACCCCCACCGAGATGGATTAATATTCAGAAATAAAATAACGAAAGAGATGGGCAGTAAAAAAAAACCAGGAGCCATGGCAGTAGGTGGTTTCAGTGAAACAGAGGAGGGTCTCCCTCTCAAAGGGCTATTTAAAGGGGCCTCTTCTTCCTTCATTTCTCATTACATTCATCCATTGCTTCTTTTCTTCTTCTATTTCCTGCATTGTTTCGTTTACTCTGTTTCCTTGATCTCTTCTCCTTTCTTTCTTTCTTTGATCTTTGATCAGTTTCGGTTTCTGTGTTTTGGTGATTCTTGAGGAAAATCAGGTAATTGGTTGCCTTCATTAGTGGAGAAAATTGGTAGAGCAGTGTTAACATTTTATCAAAAAAACATGATTCCTTTTGATTTGATCATGATTAGTGACTGTCTGTTGACAAAATTAGCATGTGGGTTTTTTTGTGCTGAATATTTTTTTTCTTTCGATCCTTAAGTTCATATAGAGTGAGTAGTTTCGTTTAATCAAGCTGAGTTAGTGACGCAGTTTCCTTCAGTTTTTTTCTTTTTCCTTTTTGCCAAAAGTATTTATTCATTTATTCTTCATAATCACAGATTTTTGGGAGTAATTTCAGCATTTACTGATTACCTTTTGCTTATTTTAGGAGAGTAGAATATAGTGTTGATAATTAAAACGTGAAAGCTTTCGCATTAGAAGTTTTCCTTTTGGGTACCAACCAGGACTCCTGTTTGGCTTTTTCTCCCTTGAATACGCCAAAAGGGTTTTATTTACATTACCTCGCCTCTAGTTTCCATCCCGTCTGCAGTGTTTGTTTCCCTGTTAGAAAACTGATCAGTCCTTCAAATATTTCCCTCTTGTTAGTTTCTGGTTCTTTTGCTGATCTCATCCTTGCTTTTGCTTAAATTTATGGTCAGGTGTAGTGAATTCGTCACAGTCAAAAATTTTACTGAGAACTTAGATATATCATAGGTAAAACTTGTTTCTCCAAAACATTAGTTTGGTTTGTGATTTAATTTGTTAATTTAAAGTATTTTAGTCTCTGTAGATATAGCATTAGATATAGTTTGGTCTAACTTTTTAGAAGTGGCTGCTGGCTAGTCTATAAAGGTTATTCTTCTTATATGTGATGTGTTTATGTTGTATATTACTTTGTTCATTCATCAAAGTTGCCTCATGCTGAAAAATTAGGATCTCTGTGGTAATAGTTTGGTTTGTGATTTAGTCGGTCAATTCAAGAACTCACTTCTCTAAAAACTTCCCTGTGGTTATTATATATGGTTTGATCTAGCTTTCTATAAGTCAGTATTTTGTAAGAGAGACTGTTTTGATATGTGATGTTCATAATTTGTATAAAAGAGGCTGTTTTGATATGTGATGTTCATAATTTGTATAAAAGAGGCTGTTTTGATATGTGATGTTCATAATTTGTATATGTTCTTGTTGATTTCACTTAGGTGCCTTAAAAAGGCTCAAAAGTTTTGATATGTGATGTTCATAATTTGTATAAAAGAGGCTGTTTTGATATGTGATGTTCATAATTTGTATAAAAGAGGCTGTTTTGATATGTGATGTTCATAATTTGTATAAAAGAGGCTGTTTTGATATGTGATGTTCATAATTTGTATAAAAGAGGCTGTTTTGATATGTGATGTTCATAATTTGTATATGTTCTTGTTGATTTCACTTAGGTGCCTTAAAAAGGCTCAAAAGTTTGAAAAGAAGCCATGGCCGATCTTGCTTTGAATCGCCTCCACAGCGTGAGGGAGCGCGTTAGTGATGGCCTCTCAGCTCACACCAATGTGTTGGTTGCCCTCTTCTCCAGGTCTTGATTCCACTTACCCACGGCTTTAATTCCCCCCTCCCCCTAAATTTAAATTTGATGCAAAATTTGTGCTTGGTGATAGTTGTTTATTGTGTAAAAAATTCTATTTCTAGGATCACTGTGGTTATGATATATTGAAATATATAGAACTAAGCTATGGGTTCTATTATTGCCATGGAGATTGATGCCTAAAAAAGCAATTTACTGGCTGTCATAGTTTCATTTTTTTAATACAATATAACTACATTGAATGAGGTCTGATACTATATGGTATATTTAGTCCAAGTCTTAGTGGGTAGCTACATATATTCTTTGAGATAAAAACACTCATGCTGACCTATTAATAAAGATAGAGAATGCTATTGGCAATATATGGGGTCAAGCTGTCAAGTGCTGGAAAAACAAATTATATGGATTCATGTTAGCAGCTCATACATACACAAATATTGTTAGGTTATATGTAGAAAGTATTATTCAAGAAAAATTCTCACAAGGTCAAAGTTCTAATAAATGAAAAGACTGCATTCATGCATTCTCAAGATGCTGACATGTTATATGTGAAATTTTGGTTGTGATAGGCTTGTGAACCAAGGGAAGGGGATGCTTCAACCCCATCAATTGTTAGCCGAATACGAAACCCTGATATCTGAAGACGAGAGGAAAAAGCTGAAAGATGAGGCGTTTGAAGATGTTATCAAAGCAGCACAGGTTTTAAAAACAGCACATTTAATACAATATTCCAAATTAAAATAATTTAATTGTTGATTAGAATTTTTTGATGATGATAACAAAATTTGATGCAGGAAGGGATAGTAATTCCTCCATGGGTTGCTCTTGCCATTAGACCGAGGCCTGGAGTCTGGGAATATGTTCGGTTGAACATAAATGAACTAAAAGTAGAGGAACTTACAGTACCTGAATACTTACAGTTTAAAGAACAACTTGTTGAAGAGAAGTATGGGATCATAAACTTCTCTAAATGATCATATGGATGATTTGAAATTTTACTAATGTCAATTTTGTTTCTTTTGTAGCACTGAAAATAATAACTTTGTGTTGGAATTGGACTTTGAACCCTTCAATGCTTCATTTCCTCGTCCCTCGTTGTCAAAGTCCATCGGTAATGGAGTGCAGTTCCTTAACCGTCACCTCTCTGCAAAATTGTTCCATGATAAAGAAAGCATGTATCCATTGCTTAACTTTCTTAGGCAACACCACTATAACGGAACAGTAAGTCTAGTGTCCTTGCCATCGTTACTTTTCCCAGATTAATCTCATTTGCTTGATATTAATAATTTGTATCAATGGTTATTGTTCTTACCATGTTTGTGCTGTTATGTACTAATACTACCTTGAAAAACTGCATTTAGTTTGCTAAATAGAATTTTAGTAGTTGCTGTGAAGGAAAACAAAAATTGATAGATATACTCTACTTGTGATACAAAAAATTGGAAATGAAAGCAACTACAAACAATCAATCCAAATATCCATGTCACACTATTTTGAATATCGATTATACTTGACTTATTTCTGAATATGTCAGATTATCTTAATTCTTAATGATAAATGCAGACGATGATGCTAAACGATAGAGTACAAAGCCTTGGTGCTCTCCAGGATGCACTTAGGAAAGCAGAGAAGTATCTATTAAGCATTCCACAAGACACGCCATATTCTGATTTCAATTACAGGTATCTCCCATTTAATGCAAAAAATTCCAGTACCTTTCTAAAATCTGCTAACATCACTACTAATGCCCATATAATGAACTTTTACTTAGATTTCAAGAACTTGGCTTAGAGAAAGGTTGGGGTGACACTGCTCAGCGTACACATGATACAATTCATCTGCTTCTCGATCTCCTCGAAGCCCCTGATCCTTGTACCTTAGAGAATTTTCTTAGCACAATACCAATGGTCTTTAATGTTGTTATCCTCTCTCCTCATGGATATTTTGCTCAAGCTAATGTTTTGGGATACCCTGATACTGGTGGACAGGTATAATAAATTAGATGATTAGTTACATTCCGTACCCTCAGGTATGGTGAAATTACATAGGTGCCAAGAGTCTGCATATCTATACGGGTAACCTTGATATTACTGATTGTAATTACATGGATAAACTTGGGAGTTGCTTGTCTCCACTCCACTCCAAGTTCACTCGTGTAAGTACAATCTGTAATCTCAAGATTAGCTGTGTAAATATGCAGATTGCTGGGTCACCCGTGTAATTGCACCATACCACAAGGTACCGGAATGTAATTAATCCTAAATTAAATGTTTTAAACATTTATAATTGAGACCATTATTTGGCTATTTATCTGATGTTCTACTTATGTTCATAGGTTGTCTACATTTTGGACCAAGTCCGTGCCTTGGAAAACGAAATGCTTCTTAGAATAAAGCAACAGGGCCTCAATATCACTCCTAAAATTCTAATTGTGAGTGTTGAAAGAACAATTGTCGGCTTTATTGTTCTGCATGTCTCTTTTTATTTAGAAATTATATTGTTCTCCAATTGTAGGTGACTCGATTGCTACCCGACGCTGTGGGGACCACTTGTGGCCAGCATCTCGAGAAGGTTCTAGGAACTGAGCATACACATATTCTTCGAGTTCCTTTTAGATCAGAGAAGGGAATTCTTCGTAAGTGGATTTCACGATTTGAGGTCTGGCCTTATCTGGAGACATATACTGAGGTAATTCTATTATCTAATCAATAAATTTGAAGTTTTTTGCAAAGATCTTATCTTATACTAATGTTTATCAAATAGGATGTTGCAAATGAGTTGGCTCGAGAGTTGCAGGCTATTCCAGATTTGATCATTGGAAACTATAGTGATGGAAATCTGGTTGCATCTCTATTGGCACATAAACTAGGAGTTACTCAGGTTCAAAATGCCCTGATACTCTGAATCAGTATTATTACCATGAATAATATTATATAACATTATGTCTTTTTTGCTCATATAGTGTACTATAGCTCATGCTTTGGAGAAAACCAAGTATCCAAACTCTGATATTTACTGGAAAAAGTTCGAAAATCAGTACCATTTCTCTTGCCAGTTTACGGCTGATCTGATTGCAATGAATCACACAGACTTCATCATCACTAGCACCTTTCAAGAGATTGCCGGAAGGTAATATTTGACTCAATACTATGTATTCTATATCTATTTTCAATAAATTTTCTCAGTCTTGATTCCATTTTTCTACTCGTATCAGTAAGGATACTGTTGGTCAATATGAGTCTCATACTGGCTTCACTCTTCCTGGATTATATCGAGTTGTTCATGGGATCGATGTCTTTGATCCAAAGTTCAACATTGTTTCTCCTGGAGCTGATATGTCCATCTACTTCCCTTACTATGAGGAGAGCAAGAGACTCACATCTCTTCATGCTGAAATTGAGGAGCTCCTTTTCAGCTCAGTTGAGAATAGTGATCACAAGTAAGTTGTAAAAGGAGTTATCTTCTTATTCATTGATTATTGATGAGGAGAATATATTGAATACATCTATATATCATTGGTTGTCTATAGAAACTCCTACGAAAGAAACTCTAATAAGAATGCGAACTGTAACGATGGGAAATTATAAGAATGAAAAGCACAATATTTCCCGGCTATGTTTTGGTGTTTGTTATCGAGTAAACCAAACAAATGAAAAAAAATAGAAAATTTAAAAACAAAACAAAGACTTTTATCCCAAATTTTTGGGGTTAGCTACATGTGTCATGTTCTTCCATTCAGTTATATTATTAAGCACTATCTCATCTGTTAGGTTAAATATTATTATATGTTTCTTAGTTGCTTCCAACCAATTTCCCCATTAACCATAATCTTATCACTTTTCTAATTGGTGTATTTACTGGCCTATTATCGCAGACAAATATTTGATCTTATTGGTTCTTGTAGGTTTGTGCTGAAGGATAGGAACAAGCCCATCATCTTTTCAATGGCAAGGTTGGACCGTGTCAAAAACATAACGGGGTTGGTTGAGCTCTACGGTAGGAACCAACGGCTTAGGGAGCTTGTTAACCTTGTCGTGGTTGCTGGAGATCACGGGAAAGAATCAAAGGACAAAGAAGAGCAAGCAGAGTTGAAGAAGATGTACAGTCTCATAGAGGAGTACAAATTGAATGGTCAGATACGTTGGATCTCGGCTCAGATGAATCGGGTTAGAAACGGGGAGCTGTATCGATATATCTGTGATACCAAAGGCGCCTTCGTGCAGGTACTCATTACTTGATTCAGTTGTGATACTACTGCCTGTCTGATATCGAAATTTCAATACCCAACTAACATATTAGTAAGAATCAATCAAACAGTAGAAACACATGTTCTCATAATAATCAGTTCAAATGAATAGAATGTGTTTTAGGAGGGGATCAATATTACACGAGACTTATAAACAAAAATCCTATCCATTCTCTACTGTTTCCAGTTCTCTAAAGAGCTTGCTTATACAATCTCCAAAACAACAAAAAGTCTAAAGCTGTACGAGGGTCTAATTTTATAATTTTATACTTAAACAGACCTTTGCATGTTGAATGTTCTTTCCATTTACCAAATCTTGGACTATTTCTCACACAAATATCTCTTAATAGTCCGTTTTAAATGAGTGTTTGGTGGGATTTGAATATGTATTTCTCTGGTACTATTTTAAAGATCCACAGCACCAAAAATCAGAAGTTGTGAGTGAGTATTGAGGGTCATAATTCTATACTCGTAGAATTGAGTCTAATATACATGCTTTCTTATTTCTTAGCCTGCTTTCTACGAAGCATTTGGACTAACAGTGGTTGAGTCCATGACCTGTGGTCTGCCCACATTCGCCACTTCTCATGGAGGCCCTGCAGAGATCATTGTTCACGGTGTTTCAGGCTTCCACATTGACCCCTACCAAGGCGATAAAGCTGCTGATCTCCTTGTTAGTTTCTTTGAGAAATGCAAAGAAGATCCAGCCCATTGGGAGGAAATCTCTAAAGGAGGATTGAAGCGTATCGAAGAGAAGTATAAAATTTTCCATTAACTATATCAATCTATGGGATAAATTATGTTGCTTGTTTTGTGATATGAATTTGAATTGTGCAGGTATACATGGAAGTTGTACTCTGAGAGACTGATGACATTGGCTGGTGTTTATGGCTTTTGGAAGTATGTTTCCAAACTTGATAGGAGAGAGACTCGCCGATATATTGAGATGTTGTATGCTCTCAAATATCGCAATTTGGTAAGTTTCTTTGAGTATGTGATGCATTGAAAAATTAGCATATATCTTGTTTGTATTTATGTTTTCGATCTCTTACTGCAGGCTGGATCAGTTCCTCTGGCTGTAGATGGTGAGAGCACAGCAAATGGAACCAAGTGATGCAGGAGGAAGAAGGCTTTTCTTCTGTCATTATTGTATTTGTTATCAAAAAATTGTGGGAGTTTGATCTTTATCTGATTTAAGATTTGATGCTTTATTGTTGTGAGCTTGCATAAGGCTTCAATGCCAAGTTTTTGTCAAATGCAAATTTCTTGCATTTGCTATGTGAGTTGAGCTAAGGAGTTGTAGTTGTTGATTCCAGAATACTGCAGGTTATTTGTTCTCCTCAAGTTTGATAAAAAAGAGTTCTTGCTTTTTGGTGAAAAAGTCGAGCTTGGTTTAAACCTTTTGGCTTCTGTTTTCAAAGTTACAACTTCAGCGCTTTCTTCTATATATGCGGGAATTAT